TCGTAGCGCGACATTCTAGATAGGGAAGACGACACCAAGGCTTCACGAATAGCAACACCCCCCTCCGGCCCTACTCTGTACCACTTGGGATCCCTGGCGCAGTCAACCAGTACATCAAACTCCGGAGCGACGTCGCCTGGTTTCCGTAAGAGAAGGACTTGCTCAAAGGGAATCCTTCATTAACTGTGGAGAAAGAAGATGGGAGGGTATCATGTGGGACGTGCCTGCAAGTAGGCTTCGAGAAGGTGTGGGGACGACTAAGTACCAAGCAATCCGTTACCGCATCAAATGACCGGTGATTTTAGTCTGGGGAAACTGTTTGGACTATCGAAACAACGGGTTTGCGGACGAGTGTACCGGTTGAAACACTCTGGATATTGATGAAGGACTGAGGTGATCTACACCCTTGGTCAGTTGGGCGAGGGCATACAAATATGTCTCCTGGCCTGACCCAAGCCATTCTTTACGGTCCAGCCTGAGTCTTTCTTTTCTACCAGTAGCATTCGTTCTGTTCCTTTTCCACGATGTTGAACATCTTCCTTACCGCTGCCTTTGCAGCTGGCCTGTCCCAGGCTTTGCCCCAGGCGACCTCCGCCCCGGCTTCATCCAGTCAAAGTTCCATGACGACCATGGCGCCCGCTGCAACTGGCAACCCCTTCGCAGACAAGAACTTCTACGCCAACCCATACTACTCCTCAGAAGTCCACACCCTGGCCATGCCCTCCTTGCCCGCCTCTCTAAAGCCCGCAGCCACAGCCGCAGCCAACGTCGGATCTTTTGTTTGGATGGACACGCGCGCCAAAGTACCCACAATGGACACCTACCTAGCCGACATCAAGGCCAAGAACGCAGCAGGTGCAAACCTCATGGGCACTTTTGTCGTCTACAACCTGCCAGACCGTGACTGCGCAGCCCTGGCCTCCAACGGCGAACTCAAAATCGCTGAAGACGGCGCCAACATCTACAAGACCGACTATATTGACAAAATTGCTGCCATTATCCAAAAGTACCCAGACGTCAAGATTAACCTCGCCATTGAGCCAGACTCGCTAGCCAACATGGTCACCAACATGGGCGTCGCAAAGTGCTCCAACGCCGCACCCTACTACCGCAACCTAACCTCGTACGCACTCGAGAAACTCAACTTCGACAACGTTGACATGTATCTCGACGGCGGCCACGCCGGCTGGCTAGGCTGGGACGCCAACATTGGCCCCGCTGCCAAACTCTACGCCGAGGTCTACAAAGCCGCTGGCAGTCCACGTGGCGTCCGTGGCCTGGTCACCAACGTCTCCAACTACAATGCCTTCCGTGCGGCGACCTGCCCGGCCATTACATCCGGAAACAAGAACTGCGACGAGGAGCGCTACATCAATGCTTTTGCGCCACTGCTGAGCGCAGAGGGATTTCCCGCCCATTTCATCGTCGACACAGGACGCTCGGGTAAGCAGCCTACGGATCAAGCGGCGTGGGGAGAGTGGTGCAATGTTCGTGGCGCTGGGTTCGGTATCAGGCCGACTACGACTACGGATAACGCGCTGGTGGATGCGTTTGTATGGGTTAAGCCTGGAGGCGAGGTATGTTTTCTTCCCTTTCCCCTTTCCCCTTTCCCCTTTCCCCCCTCTATTCACGTCAAATACCTACTTCCATTCGGCATCACAATCAAGGAAAAGAATAATAGCTAACATGAGCATTAGTCTGACGGTACGTCCAACACCACATCCGCCCGCTACGACGGCTTCTGCGGCAGAGACTCGGCTTTCAAACCCGCACCCGAGGCCGGAACCTGGTTCCAAGCATACTTTGAGATGTTGCTGCAAAACGCAAACCCCAAGCTTGCATGAGCCGTTTTCCTTTCTCTTTCTTCCATTCTACTACTCCCCGAAGCTCGGATTTCCAGCGCTAGACTAGACTTGTGTAGATATGAAATCTCAGGCAGTGCTGTACTGTACATATTTCTCAAAACAAACATCAAGTTTCTGCAATAACTTTTACGTGTTTTAAAAAGTACACTTATCTCTCTTGGCTATTTCTCACCACTCGCATGCCCAATCCAAATATCCCAGCCTCCATCCCTTACCCTGATACCGCCCAACTCCCTCTCTCGCGCCACTTCCAGCGCCTCTACAACCCCCGGATCCCGCATCACCTCGGCTGTGAGCCAAAGGCGCAGCGACGGCCGCGCCTTGTTGCACCGGCGAGAGAAGAAGACAGTGGCGTCTGTTATGTCTTCTGCGATTTCGGACGGGCTTGCCATGCAGGGAGTTGGCGTTGGGCTTTTGTGAGTTACCGAGGAAGCGGTAGAGCTTGGATGTGTTATTTGCAGGGGAGAAGAAGGGAGGGTGGTACAAGGACGTAGATTGTCTGGTATGAAGAGAGTAGAGGAGGTGAAACTAGACATGGAGGAAATAGAGCCCACAGACACCGTACGCACGGAAGTAGAAGAAGCAGTAGACTTTGCACGTAATCCACTGCCAAGAATCTTCTCGTCTGCCTCCTCGTCCTCAGTTTCCCCCACCTCACTCCCTACATTCTCCCCCTCCCCTGAACTCAAATACCCATCTTCCACTACAAACCTATCGACCTCGTACTCGTCCCCGCTCTGCCTCGAATCCCCACTCTCGCTCCGTGCGAAATCGTGTGCGGCTCTGAACTCGATGTTTTCATGGGTGAGGGGGTGGGATTCTGAGGAGGTGACGGAAGAGGTGGAATCTCGACTACTGCTACTACTGCGGCTGCTGAGGGAGGCGGTGTCGTTGATGAGGATATGTAATATCCATCCCTATATAGCGAGCCACCCTATGTAGCGAGCCGAATTCCAGGTACTTTAAAGTTAAAGTAATAACATCTTCTTACCAACGTCCAGGATTACATACTACTACATAAGCACTGGACTTTGGCCTCCAGGATACTCGTAGAAAGTCTCCTGCCCTAAAATTACGTTAGCGTTGCGATCTCATCGCCACTTTAGAGAGAGGCTCTATATAGTAATCTTATCGAGCCGCCTTCGTGCACCTGTAAAGACGACGTCTCGCTGACTTTTGCAGCCACTATTCAGAAGTATCTGAGGGTGAAACCCATCCTGTCGTTAATGAACGTCATTCCAAGGATTGTGGTTGCTATGCGGGGTTACTCTCTGGGGTTGCCACCGCTAATCGGTACTTGCGAGTCTGTTTTGAGCTAGCGTGAAACCGTAGGCAGAACAGCTGAAGTGTAATTTATTCTCCGTGATTAGGTTAGCTTCATAAGCGTGGCTAGAGTCTGTGGCCGTGCTGCAGCTTAGTAACGCCGAGCTTTTTCCGCCACATCCCTTTGTCGAGAAACGTGTTGGACACACCTGGTGACGGCTTACACCTCTTTCACCCTTACGTCAAGCTACCTGCGGTGAGCCACAGACCATCCCGTCGACTCTTCGCATAATTGTCAGCACCCTTCTTGAGCCACCTGGCGCCTTGCTGTGCTGACCTTACATGAGCGCCAGGTACCTTCGTGAGTTCTACTTTGCATCTGCAACTAAATTGACTTCTACTGACTCAGGCCTTGTAGATAGTCGCAGATCGTCTAGCACCAGCGCGCTACACTGTGTTCTCCGTCTCCCGCGCCACCTGCGCCGCCTCGACTTCGTCCACGCTCCTCCTATCGCATACATCTCCAATGTCCACTCTACAACCGTGCAATTCACCCACGTCCATACTCCACCATCGCAATTAGCCACAATGAGTCATATCACCCCAAGGCGGGTTGTCCTCCGATGCCGTGAACAATACTTTAGAGAACAGGGAGTAGTGGTTCAAGCTTTCTTCCAATCGCAAAATCTCCTAGATTCAGAGGACTACGGCATACATATATGTGAAGACCCCTCCTCTGCTAGCGCTCTATATCTTGTCCTTGATCTACATTGCAAGGAGATTCCCAGTGTCGATCTCAGCAAATTGAGCCTTGAAGTATTCAAAGTCTCGAAAAACAAGACATTGTGCGTCGCCTTCCCAGCTGTAAAGCCTAAGCTAAGTCAGATCTAGTACGTTCAAAGATCTTGGAGAGAATGCAAGCAAGTTGGCTTACCAACGGTCTCTCAAATTAGAATGGGGAGCTAACCAATCTAATCGAAGGAATTAGACGGTGTTACTCCCTTGCAAATAGGGCAGTCTCCAGCTATGTTAGTATCTTGGATGTCAAGAATCAACGGAAGGTCCCTTAGAAACCCAGATTGGGGCATGCATGGATCTCTGCTTGGGCGATTGAGTGCTGCTCCACAATAGATTATGTCTTCTCGATTTCGGTGGGCAGGGTTGCGCGCACAAGATCGGTAAGTCTTACAACCCCAAGAGCACATAGTTCGAGCATAAAAAATATCTTAGAAATGAAGTTACGTTGCAATCGAATGCAGGATGCTTCGTTCTGATAACGACTGAGGTGGCAGGAGCGCGCGTGACACGGGACACCAATTATTCCGCGCCGCTTGAGCCACTTACGATGGACAATTGCTCAGCCACAAGTTCATCGAAGATGGACACAAATAGTATCGCGCTGGAAGTCTAATAATAAACAACGTCTTGGTTTTACAGCAGGCTGCAAGGTCTCGCAAGTCAATAATACCTTCTCAATACATCCTACGCTACCACATCTTCGCCACTGGAGCTCTCCACTGTTAAGGCGGAAGTTCTCCCTCTTCCACACTTGGTCCTCCTACTTGTTCCACACCTAGTACTCCTACTACCTCAGCCGCAATCTGTCCTTTGCTTTTCCGCACCGCTTGGGCCTTTGGTGTAGGCGTATTTATCTCCAGAGTGTCAATCTTTCGCTTTCGACCTCGTTTCTTCTTGCCAGTGGGGACTTCGGCTGCTCGCGAAGCCTTAGCAGCTTTCTTCACCTCACTCGCGATTCTTCTAGCCTCTTTCTCGGCGTCTTTTGAAGCACGATCCTCTCGTGCCTCGACAAGGTGTTCGTAGCTTACCACCCTCGCCGACCCAGTCTCCAGCATTATCGATTTGGTCGAGCGGCGAACTTTTGCTTCGTTGTTAATCTCGGTAAAGAATTGATTCTGTTCCTCAAGGAGGGCACGTTCTGCAAAGGACAGTTGGGTAGCATTTGTAAGCTTCTGTATGCGCCTCTGCAAGCGCTGTCTGCTCGCCTCATCAACTACGTGTGTGTCCTGCTTGATTAGATTGTGCAGCGAGGCAACTGCATTTGCTGTGATTGGCGTTACTGGTGTTTGTGGTACTTGGTCTTGCATGCAAGCATCTCCCTCCATCTCGTTGGTTGCGGGGGCACTCAATCCAGCGAGAGGCTTTGGTATATCACTAAGTACCTTGGCTGGGTTAAAGGGGAAGAGGCCAGCTCTCGACCATCCCGCCCGTATGTTCCTGGACGTAAAGGCTTGGTCCCTTGCGGGGCTATACAGATAGGTGAAATGCTCCTTCCCAATTGCTCCAACACATCCTCGCTCCAACCGCTCGACCTGTTCGCGGTAGGCCACCTTCAGTGGGCTGAATACCGAGATGTCGCAGGGTTGAAGCTTATAGGACGTGTGGGAGGGGAGACGGCATAGAATAATGTTGTTCTCAAAACAAAACTCTAAGATTTCTAGGGTTTCATAGGTTCCGAAGCCATCGCATATTAGTACCCGTGGTTTTGTATTAGCTCGCTGTTTAGTTTAAGGATGAAATACAAGCTTGAGCCACTGCAAGCTAAGATATAAGTCGGTGTAGCCGGTGTCCGAAAATGCATAATGCCATCCAGGGGTAGGATGCGTGGTCCAGTTAGATCGATGAGTTAATGCAGGCCAAATAATCATAGGGGTCAAATACCTGCCATCGGCACTTACACATTCGACAGCAGTGACAATCGTTCGCTTGACACGGGCACCTCTATAGCCTCGCTCGTTATCTCGAGAAACAAGGACTTTGACAGAGTTCAGCTTGGAAAGCATGACACCAGTTTCGTCCATATTATAGACGTTCTCTTGTAGAACAGCGGGGTCCTGTAGGACCTCTCCAATTACTTCAAACCAGTGTATGACCTTGTCAAAAATATCGTAACGGTTCCAGTCTAGCGCACTGGCTTTACTTGGTTTAAGCTCTGGATAGCGTTTGTAGAAGAGCTGGGGCCAGTTCTTTCCAGGAGGCTTGCTTGGCCTGTACGCTGGCTCCCGTCGGCGGGCGAGACTGAAGGCTATCTATCGAACCTATATACTTTACGCGGACGGGGCGACCAAGAGCATCTTGACGTGCTATAAATTTAGCGAGCGCTTTCTCTTCCCACGGGTGGAGATATTGTTGGCTCTGGGCTTTCTCTTCGATCGACTGGCGTTCGCGTTTTCGATGCTGTAGAGTCGTGCGAGGAACACCATGATGATCAGCTAGAGCACGGAAGGATTTTGGCACACCGTGTGGAACGAGGGCGCAGTTTATATGACCATAGAATTAGCGCTGCGTGAACTCGTATTTAGCATAGGGTTAGGCTGTGCCAAGCTCTACTAGCTAGCTAAGCGAGGTTAACTAAATATTATACTATAAGATTTTATAATATATTCTAAACCTATTCTAAATATATTCTATACTAGTAATACTACAAGCTACTACTACTATACCTATTACTAACGTATCCCTCTTATCCTATATAAGTAGATTAAAATATGTTTAGAACGTGTTCTTAATAGGTTATAGAAGCACTATTAATAGTACCTTACCCTTAGCTATATCCTAGATAATATTAGGGTATAGCCTATAGTTAGCCCTAATAGGGTAGTTAAGATAGAGAGTAGAGAGCGCTACTACTATACTAAGATTAATAATAAGGGCACCTTATATAGAGTAAGAATAGGTTCTAAACGTGTTCTAAACAGGTTCTAATATTCTTAGGCTATTCTAGGTACTAGGGGCACTCTATATACCTATGCTAAAAAAGATTATAGGCTTAATATAGCCTACTATAAGGTTAGTAGGGTTAAGAAGACTAGCTAGCCCTCTATAATAGAGGTCTATAAGGTAAAGAGTAAATATATTATTAACCTATTCTTAACTTATTATACTAATATATATAGACTTCTATATAAAGGTTATATATAATTACTAGAATACTTCTTACTATAAGTTATTTAGAATATATTTAAAACTTATTACTAATATATTTTATAGAAGTTCTTTAAGCCTAGCTAGCAGCTGCTATAGGCCCCCCTATAAATACTAATACCCTCCTAAATATAATTTAGAAGAAGACTTATAGTAGCTATAATAGTAATAAGGTATAGCCTGCAAGAACCTATTAAAAACACGTTACTAACTTATTATAGCTTAACTTTATTACTATATCTACCCTACTAAGGATTTAAGGTTATTAGGTTTCTTATACTATCTACGCTTATAATTATCCTAGCTATAGTAAGTTATTTATAATATATTATTAACCTGTTCCTAATATATTTTAAGACTATTACTTTAATACTAGTATAGACCTTACTAATTCCTACTAGAATACTGCCTAGTTCTACTTGCGGTATACTTTTATAGAGCCTAGGGAGGATAGGGAGAATAGAGAAGATACTAGAGAGGGGGAGAGAGATAATAATAGTAACAAGTAGGAACACGTTAAGAATATATTAAGAATAGGTTCTAATAAATAATATATAATAGTATATAACCTAAAGGGGTAGTAGTAATTACTAAAATAAACTCTCTACTCTTCTCTTTTTTTTTCTATCTACTAAAAGTAAAGTACTATTTACTTTTATAGGGTCCTTTAATAGTATATAACTTTTTCTTTTAACTTTTATAGGTATTATAAAGCTCTAGTAGTCCCTTAGATTAAAGAAGAATCTAGTATTTATAGGTGTCTAGCTATAATATATTATTAATATATTCTAAACATGTTTTAAGAGACTAGACTTATATCTTCTTTTTACTACTTTTGCTAAATATTATTTATAGTGTAAAGGGGAGCAACTATTTACTTCTCTTCTTTACTCTCTACTTCCTCTTTAGCCTCTACTCTAGCTACTACTTCTTATTATAGACTAGCTATCTTAGAGGGTTCTTAAACCTTAGAGGAGGTACTTAGTGTAGTCTACTCTACTAGCAGAGAATGTATTATTAACGTGTTTAGAACACGTTCTTAAGTATTTACTATTAAGCTCCTATAGAAAATCCTTACTTCTATAATACCTTATATTATAGTTCTGCTATAGTTTACTAGGGCTATTTAAACCTTAGGATAATACCTCTTAAGGTAGTAGATAAGATTACCTCTATTAGAGAAGTAACACTAAAATAGTTATTAATATATTATAAATATGTTCTAACTTGTATATATATATACTCTACAAAGTTCCTATACCCCTAATCTAGCCTAAATAGCCTAGTAGAAAAGCTTGCTAGGAAATACTATATACCTATTATTTAGGTAGGATATTATAGGAGAGAATACCCTAGTATTAGATAGAAGTAACTTAAGCTTAATATATTGCTAGTATAAATCCTACTTAGTGTTAGAATAAGTTTATAACGTGTTCCTAACGCGTTCTATTATATACTAACTTTAAAAGATCTTTATAGACTATATTAACTAGTTATATCTAATAATATTAGGAAAGATAGATAGTAAAATAGTATTAAACTCTTAAATATAAAAAGTTCTTATAGAGTGTAAGAAGAAAGAAGAAGAAAGAGAAGAAGAAAGAATATATATTTATCTACTTATATATACTTATATAATAGACTAGAATATATTAAGAACTAGTTAGGAACTAGTTACTATATTTATAGACTAACCCTACCTTATATAAAAAGTAGCTATCTCTTTCTTAAGTTTAAACTATACCTTTTATAATTTAAATAGTGCCTTTTTCTATACAAGTTCTTCCTTATCTACCTTTAGCTTTTCTTTTCTCTCCTTTAGAGCCTAATTACTAAGAAGAGCCTTTTATTATAAAGTTTATAGTTATAGACTAATAATAAGTTAGGAACGTGTTATAAATATATTTTGCGAAGCATACCTTTAGGTTACTATTAGTAGAGAAGAAGAGCCTAGTAGTAGAGAAGATAGAAAAGGGGCTAGTAAACTTCTTTCTAATACTGCTCTACTACTTGCCCTTAGGCTTTAGGCTTTTAAGCGTGCTCTTTTATTTCTTATTAGGACTAAGATATATCTAGTTAAGTTAGATATAGCAAGACTTGCTTTATTATTATCTAGAGTATTATTATTATTATAGAACGTGTTCTAAACACGTTCTAAATATATTTTAATTAGCAAATATGCATAATACTAGCGTAAGACTTACTTTCTCCCCTCTAAAGCTTTTTAAGGTACCTTTGCTTAAGCCTATTAGGAGTTCTATAGTTATAGTATATTCTAAACTTACTTTAGGCTTTAAACTCTTTTATATCCTGCAGATCTATCTAGTGTGCACTATATAATATTACTTATATAATTCTAATAGGTTAAGAATAGGTTATAAACTTACTTCTAAGTAGCCTTAAGAATACTTATATACTTACTAGTTTTATATCCTTTCTAGCCTGCTTGCTTAGCTATATTTAAATAAGATTCTAGTTTTTCCTATACCTTTTTTAATATTTTACTATAGTATTATATAATCCTAGCAGTAATTACTAGGTTTTTCTTATAGATTACCTAGTTTTAGGTATCTTTAGAGGGTTCGTGTTCTAATTATATAAGAACAAGTTAGGAACACGTTTAGAATAGGTTTAGAATATGTTTACTTACGTAAGAGGAGGTTAGCAAGCTAAAAGTATTCCTCTGCTATTAATACCTATAGTAATTCACTTAGATATAAAGAGGTAGTATTATCTAGCTCTCTTTTATATACTTTGTAAATACTTCTTTATAGATATACTTAATAAAATCTTATACAAGATTAAAGTTACTAGCACTAGTTACGCTTATAGGGATTAATTAACTAGAGATAGCGCCTAAGTCCTAGAAACAAGTTAGAAACACGTTATAAATATATTATAGTACACTATAAAACTTGCCTATTATCTGCTTATTATATATATTAATAGTAGTCCTATAGAATCCCTGTAAGTAAATATACCTCTATAACACTTATCTTTTTATAAGTGCTTTACACTTCTAAAAGAAGTTAGTAATAGCAACTTAATATATCTTAGTTATATCCTTATCTATAATAATTTAGCTAAGTATAATAACTGCAATATATTAGAAACATGTTATAAACCTGTTCTTAATATATACGCTTCTTTTCCTATAGGTAGAAGATTACTATTAGAATCTCTGCCTATACCCTATACAATCTCTTATATAACATATCTATCTAGAATATATCTTAATCTAATAGAATTAATACCTACTCTTTAAAAAGGTAAATAATTAAGTTACCTAAGCTTAATATAAAGATTTGCTATATATACGCCTATAGTAACGTGTTAGTAACATATTCTAAACCTGTTCTCTTACACTACGTATAGTTTTAGGATCCTAATACTTTATCCTCTACTTATAGTGTACTCCTCTAAGGCTACTCTTAAATAGGAACTATAGAAGCTTTTTACGCTTTATAATACGCAAGATTTTATCTTTATTTGCAAAGCTAATATATATTTCTTTAATAGAATAGAAACCTTTAAGTTAGAGATAGGTTTAGAGCTAGGTTAAGTTTAGGAACTAGGCTATAATAAGTTAGGAATATATTTATAATAGGTTATAAATAACTTATATTACATAAGCTATAGAGTAAGTATAGGCTATAACACCTTTACTACTTCCTTAATATTACTATTAGATAGTATTAAGGGAGGAGGAGGTATATATATATATATACTAAAAGAAATAATAGTAAAAAAAGGTATTACTACTATATCTATTAGTATAATTACTTAGAAGGTAACTTTATATAGGATTTTAAATAGAGATCCTTGCCCTTATAGATAATTAACGCCTAGAATATGTTAGGAACGTGTTAGGAATAGGTTGCAATATGCCTACCACACTTCTTTATCTAGCTTAACTGTGGCTTAACTATAGAATATAAAGTAGGACTACTAGAAAGATTTAATATCTCCCTAGTTAGAAGACCTTATAGATATATAGAGTCTACCTCTAGTAGTACCTAACTAAAATAATATTTTTTCCTAGTAGTAGATATTAGGCTATAGTTCTAATAGCTAATATATAGTTAAGCCTATTCTATAAATTGCTAACTTGTTATTAACACGTTTTAAATATATTTAAGTTTTGCTCCCTACCTAATTTACTATAGTCCTTATTATAGGATAATAAGACACCTAGTAGTCCTTATAAATCCTTAAAGAGAAGCGCTTAATAAGGCTATAATAATAGCTTCTTATTTATAGTTCTCTTTATAGAATTTTCTTAGGTACTATACTTTTTAAGGTTTAGATCTAATTATATAATATATTATTAATAATATAATAAGAATATATTTATAATATATTCTTAAGATACTTACACACTTTTACCCTAGAGTATTAGTATTTATACTAGCTTGCTAGCTAGCTATTAAAGAATAGTAAAGTTATAGGCCTATTAAGATAGATAGACTAGCAGGAGTATTATACCTACTAGAATTAGAATAATTTAAGAACGTGTTCTTAACGTGTTACCTATATAGCCTATATAAGCACCTCTTCTCTTATTAGGTAAGAGCTATCTTTATATTACTAAACTAGTATTATATACCTATACCCTTAGCTATATAATTAAGGGTATACTAGGAGAATAGCTATATACTTAATAATTACTAGTGTAAGTAGTAGTCCTTAACTATTACTATAAGTAAGGTATATATTATGCCCCTATAATATATTACTAACCTATTCTAAACTTATTCTATTTACTTTTACTTACTTTCTTAATACTACTACTACTATCCTTCTCTAGCACTTTATATAGTTGCCTAAATTTATCTCTAATATTACTATCTAGTTTAGATACGTTATCTAGTACTACTATACTAAACTCTAGTATAGTATTTAGGAATACCTATATATTATTAAGAATAGGTTTAGAATATATTTAAAAAAGATAGTAATAAAAACTACGTTTACTTGCTTAAATTACCCTAATTTATACTTAACTATAGGCTAGTTTATATAACTATAAAAATTTACCGCTGTGACGTGGACTTAAACCTACAGGGATATTCTAACCACTTAGAGTAAAGCCCAAGTCGCCTGACGCTAAACCCATGGTCATATGACATGCCACCACATGTGGAACACCTAATGCCAGCGCTTGGCTGGCTCTATCTATGTTAGCTGATTATGGTGATGGAGTGTCGGTGGGGTAACACGGCGATAGGACACGGCCAGGTTCTGATCAAAAATAGAAACAGCACGTGCTTATGGATGCTTCTAGAATTGAGCCACACTGCCACAGCCCGCCTCAGAAGGCTAGTTACATAAGATATAATACAAGCTCGCTAAACCTTGCCAAGGCTTACGTCATGCTGCAAGGCTCAAGATCGCCCCTTGTTTTACCCAGAGAATCTCTCGGCATCTACATTGCTAGGCCGAACATAGCTTTCAAACCCTGGATCTATATTTACTGTAACAGTCGCTTCTCCCTAGAGTAGAGTTCCGATTATATAAGACACTCCTCTCATTACAAGTTAGCAGGGGTGGTAGAGCGGAGGAGCTCAGCATGACGTGAATGAAAAAATTGATAGCAGACCTAAAACTCCAAGAATTTCTTCGTGCCACAGGATCCTAGTAGAGGGAAGGGCAAAGATGGACGTGTACGAACAGTACCTCTGTTAGCTTACAAGGGAGGCTTTTAAGGGGTCAAATGTAGGAATTTGGCTCGCGTCGTAGGGTGGCTCGCGATATAGGGACAGACGTTATGGGGTTTGGAGTTTTTTCCGTCTTTGTCTTTGTTTTCGTCTTGAGATTCTTCGTCTTGAGATTCCTCCCCTTAACCCCCTTACCCACTCTCCCCTCCACCCCCTGCTCAAAAACCACTCTCAATTTACGAACGCGCGTGCTCCTGCGCAGAGTGGTATGAGCTTGTATTGTGTCAGCCATTTCTCCCTGATCTTCCTAATCTCTTCCTATCTGGATTTACAATTCCCGCTTTGGCAGCGTACTGGTCGCGTGTGTATATAGAATAGTTTTCCGTTTCTCCCTGGTGTATCAGCCTATCTCAATTCCTGTTCTGGTCTTCCAACCGGCTTATATAATTCAAAAACGGGTAGTCTGATGGTAAAGCCAAGTATGCGTGAATCATTCTCGATCTTCTGCGTCCACCTGGGGACAATGTTTAAGACTCGGACTGCGTATGCGTATGCTAAATCTAATGATTTGGACAATGCGGTGTTGGGGATGATGGGATATGTATATAATAGCCTTGTTATTTGAGCAACGTGGGTCTTGTGCACAATGTTGCTCTGCGTTCTTTGTGCGTTCAAGAGTCGACATCAAGGGAAATCTAGACAAGGACATTGTGTCTGTGTGTGTATTGGACAAGGGGAATGCATACATTTTCATAGTGATGCGTTTGAAGTTGCGTTTCAATGTGCTAGCTGCTAGGATGGGAACAGCACTGTATAATCGATGAAACTCCAACGAAAAGGAAGCCGATGAGAAACTCGGCTATGGAGTTGAATTCAGCTAGGAAGAAACCGTCGCATTAGACAAGAAGAGCCAAGGAAAAGAGGTAAAAATAAGAATAAAATGTAAATATAAGGGAAAATACACAGACCCCCATCCCGTCCTTTCCCAATCAGCCAATCAGATATCCATCGTGACACTACAACGCCTCAAACGCGAACCGCGCCCATCGACCCAGAACGGGGAGTTCTGACATGGGCGATTGCACACCAAAGCCATCTTGTCGTGTATCCCATGCCATCATTAATCACAGTCACGCGACCAACAAGAAGAGTGCCGTACAAACTGCTGCTATCCAGACCTTGCCAACATCTCTGCTCAACAAACTTGCGCCAGCCTTGACGTTCAACTTCACCACGGCGCCCGGATAACTGCACTTGAGCGCGTCGACATCCCGCTGCCCATAGGTCAACTCCCTGGCCGGGGAATTGGGACAGACAAAGCCGAGCTGGGCAGGACAGCTCTTGACAATGTCGAAGCAGAGGTCTTCGCATGGCTTGAGCTCTTTGTACGGCCCTGGTTGGATGAGCTCGTCGATAAAAGGATGGCGACTCTGACTGTAGGCAAAGCGATCGCGATAGGTCTCGTTGAACGCGAGCGTCGTGTTATCGCCTCTCAACGTGATATTACCATTAATAGTGACCGTCTGATTGGGGAGTAATTCATTGATGCGACGGAGTTGGAGCCAATCGCCTGGAGCGGTATAGTCTTCGCAACGTGGGACAAGAACGGTGCAGAGCCAGTTTTTGTAGTCTCTTGCGCAGTCTGTACAGGTTTTGGCAAGCGAATATTGGGATTCCCCCGCCGTTTCGCAGGCTACTTGGGAGAGCGACTTGCTGAAATTGGCGTAGTATTCGCGAGCTTTTTCGTCGTAGATTGCGGCCAGGCCGGCGTCGTCGTTGCGATATTTGGGAGAAGAGGGCACGGCGTGAGCAACCTCATCGCAGAATTCAAGGTTGAAGAGGACCTGGCAGGAGTCATCTGATAGACTTGTTAGTATAGTTTACGAGGAGTCAAGACTTGTGGAATCTGCATACGAGCTTTCGTCTTCCACTGAAATGGCTGGAACACTTTGCCACCGGCCTTTACTACGCCCACAGAATCGAGCGAGGATGTGACATTTGTCTCAGTCACGACCACGAAGCCGTTGTACAACTTATCTCTGTCCAGACCCTGAACGTTGAACTGACTCCTAGGCAAGTGTCCCTCACCAAATTTAGTAGTGACGTTCGTTTGAATAGTGAATTCTTTGGTCGAATTTGAGTTGAACTTCTCCGCAAGCGCACAGTACGAGTGTTCAATGCCAGAGATGATGGTCCATTCACCTGCTTCAAAGGCGTACATTACGAAGGGATTCTGCTGCCTCCACGTGTCGAGGCTCGTAGTGTCATTTGGCATTGCGATATCGTTGGTGACGAAGAGAGTAGAGTCACTGTCTGTATCTACCATGAAGAGGAAAGGAGTCGAGTTGTCGTAGCTGTGGTATGGCCCATACACACTGGCAGCAATCTCAAAGTGCCAGCTTCCAAACCATTCCTCATCCTTGAGGACCGGCGCCGATATGCCAATGTAGAGATCGCCAGTAGCATTGAAGTCAAACCGCGCATAGCCACTGTCGAAAATGACGCCTGTGATATTGGTGACGAGGCCATTGGTCGAGTCTGGTCCTGGTCTTTGATTCCGAGTCGAGTTTGAGACGTACATGACGAGTTGGGGGTGGCTCTGTGGCATAAAATTGTCAACGGGCATCGGTTGATTACATGTGGTGGCTGTTATCGAGACCAGACTCGTCGCAGCCTGCCGTTTGTGCAGCTCATCGCGTAAGCTGTCGTCTGCGTCGTCCTGCAATGCTCCTTCTGACACATTTTCCATCCCGGAGGCTTCCAGCGCTTCCATCGGAGTGTCGACTGAGCGCTTCAAGCGCAATTGGCTCTTCTCCAACACAAAATGCATTGTAACGCCCTTTGTGATATCCTTGCCCAACTTCTGGTCCAATACCAGCCTGTCCACTTGGGCTTCTTGGCGTCCAATCAGACTTCGGTCGAGATAGGCAAAGTCGGGCGCATAGCCATCTCTTTGTTCCCCTGTGGAGTCTCCATCATCTTGTACGAGTGCCAGCTCTGCGCCCTCAAGGCCAGGCAGAATGGGCTGGCCAGGGTATCCTCCAAAGTCGATGGGAGTGGCTACGTCTGCAGCATGTGCGAAGAAGGACCGGGGCGCCCGCGAGGTCCATGGCGGCGCAAGGCATACGAGAGTAATAGCAACGTACGCAAGCAGTCTCGACTGCAGCCGTGTGTGTTTGGGAGGTGGCATTGCCCTCTGCGCTGCCTTATCGAGATGTCCGAGAATACATGAGTGGTTTGCTCAGCGCAGAAGATTGCGCGAGATGTCGAGGATAGCTAGTGAATGGAAAAGGGCCAAGGGCAGGGCAATATGTGTATCGAACAGGATCAAGTGAACGCCGTAGGTACTCTTCAAGGGATTAAGGTTCCGAGGGCCAATCAATGTGGGGTCGCGCGCGCGGGTGAACGGTTGTTAGGGTTGGGTGGCACGCCGCGTTTTGCTGATCATGTTGGACCTGCCAAGCCTTGTGGCTGTGACTACAGACCCTGGGGACCGCCACACCAGTCGACACTTGTTTTCACTTCTGCACTTCTTTCACTTTCACATCTGCCAGGATTCTAGATCAAGATCTCTGGTACGAGAGCCGTATCAAGCCCGTGGTACATTATCTCGCTTCGTGCACTGCAAAACACCTCTAGCAAGCGCGTAGGTACGCTATCTTCCGCCATGTTACATCCCCAACCACAACCAATCGCCCGCATTGGCCTATTACTTGACTAGTCTTCCGCTGCCCCGTTGATTTCCCCTAGGATTGTTCCTTCGCCTTTGGTCTAACATCTTGTCTTCTTCTGCTCATATATGCCTGTTGGTGTCCAGGCACCCCTTGATCTCTACCAGAACCAGAATCGCAGCCGGATGCTACCATTACACCCAGCACATGGCCATCCGAGCCCTTGATATATCATAGTCACCTGTCTGCGAGCGCGTGGTTTGCATGCAATTCAAGGAATAGCTGCCTCTCGTGCGCTCTAGAGACTCTGAGGCGCACTAATCGCGTACTTTGATCTCATTCGCCTCTAATGGCCATGACCATGTGTAGCGTAGCCCTCATACCCCTGAGAAGGATTTATAACAATCGACTCGTCCAGATTCGTAAATGCTAATATCTCCGAATTCATATCGAATGCGCCAGCGTCATCAAAGGTCAGGTCGAGACTCTGTTGCGTCTGCAGTGGTGTCATGAAATTCCTAATGACATGACAAGTCAGCCAGGTGGAGAAGATCAGACTTCAGAAGAAAGCTTACGGATCCCAATTTCCCCATAATTGCGCAATCATTTCATCATCAAGTTGCACCGGCCCATTCTCATCCCCGCTCGCCTGCTGTGAAGACTCGGGAATGCCTAGATCGGCAAGACGGTCTGGCGTCTCCTCTGTAACCATCTTAGCAAAGCCAACCTGCTCCATGCCTCTGCAAAGCGCTATCAGCTTCTCGATGTGATCGCTATATTGACGATTCCTGGTATGAGCGTAGGCCAAGACGAAGATCATAATGAGTCGAAGAATGCATGTACTGTCAAACGCGGTGAGACTGGATAGCGTGCCATTGGCGGCCATCTCTTGTAGAATGGCGATGCTCTTCTGGGCCGCGTCGATGCAAGTTTTGCCCATGCGCTCAAACCATATCTTCTTGCTATCCGCTAGCGTGCTGTACTTGATTACAAGGTAGAGGAGAAACGGTCGGGTGAGTAGGATGATAGTGCTCCAGTAATGTAGATGTAAAATCGCAACGGCGCGTTTGTGTGTTGGTGGTGCTGGAGTTCCGTGTTTCAGATGCGCTGGCATTTGGCGATACCATTTCTGTAGAAGTAATAGTGAATTTGAAATTGTAGAAAATGAAATGGAATTCGCTGAGCGCTCGGTGTACAGGCTTTGAATGATCTCACGTTTAAGACGACATAACGATACAGAAGTATCTAGCCACCCAAGCGGGGTGTGTAGCCCGGGGTATAATATCTTGGAATAGTCAGCATACGTCATGGGCTTATAGGAAACAGAAACGTGCCTGTTCAGATGACATTGCCGTGGTGACTTTGGTGAATCGCTCGTCGACAACAGTGGGGCTGCCGCCTCTCATGGAAATTTCCTGGTCCAATAGAAACAGTGTCCACCATATGCGGCGATTTCGCTCTCGTTCGGTAGACGACCCGTTTTCTGGAAGTTGGTCGCGATGCAGGCCAAGGGAAAAGGCCATTTGAATACTGGCGCCCATATAAAGATACGCGCTTACTCTGGAGCACATATTTTCCATTGCAAGGCTCTACGACCATGTCAGCACTGCCCATCATGTTCCACATGAGAACACGAACCATTATAGCCAACGCTCGAATGCTATCAATATCTGCCTCATCGTAGACAACGGGTATCAACTGTTTTGCGAGCGTAATGTAGGCTTCTGAAGTCTTTTGATCCATTGCAGCAGGCCAATCCGGAGGCGGAGATTTGCCATGTTCTCCAATGTAATTGGCTGCACCAATTGCAAAGATGGTGTATACCGAGCACATCCAGGAGCTTGATGAAGACGAGGTCGATGTTTTGTATGTGTTGTCGATTCTTCTCAGCAAGTTTTCCACAGGGTAGAGCCAGTAGGTGCAGTGAACGTCTTCGAGGAACCTCGAGACGTAGATGTCGCACAACTCTCGAGGGGGCAGATAGAAGCTCTCTTCAACGCCAGGGTCTGTGGCTGGAGACGAAGCGGAGAGTGTGGGTGGATATGATCCCACGCGGGGCATGGGAATGATGGAAGGGTTTTTTCGCTGGGCTCCCAGGTTCGCAACAGCAGCATTGAAGGGAATCTCGCTATGGGCACCAACATAACGGAATTTGCCTCTTGAGTCTTTCATCATAGTACCGAGTGGCTCATGCAATTCACCCACGTCCTGCTCTCCCACATCGTCGACACTCTCTGCATCCTCGGGAGAGGCCAAGTCGTTGGTGAAGAGGCCGTCTGTCTGCTGGACAGGGGGAGCAGCAAAGGTGCCGTCCTTGATGGCTTTGGCTATGGTCCGCAAAGACTGCAAGTTCAATTCATGGCCAGGGAAAAAATGCTCGAGGATGCGCATCGAGCACTGGTACTCCTCCTCAGTAACATGATAGTAGGGCCTCTTGCGGCGAGGGGTAGCAATGGTGCACGTAGCCCCGGTGCGAGCACAGTATCGGCATGGGCCAGGAACTATACCAGGGGTCAGTCAGCCATGGTGCCGCGGGAGAAGGCAAAAGCCTGAAATCTAAAGGAGACACAGGAGATACAGGAGACACAGGGTGCCTTTGGGTGGAGATGGGGTCGTACTGGGATCGATGCACTACACATGAGTGCGATTAGTGTCTTGGCATGAGTTTGTTTGCGGGGAAGAGAGGGAGGGGTGGCGGGGGACTGCGGCGGTGAAAGCATGACTTGCCTTGGTCTTTCTGCTTCTACACCGATCGCAACTTGAGTGCACGCGATGGCCGTTTGGCGCTCTCACAGTCACTGGCGCAGCTGGAGCACTTCGCGGCGGCGCAACGGCAACAGAAAACTCGGCCATGCGGGACTGAGGTCTCAGACAGAAGAGAGGCCTTGGCCGTCAAGATAGAATGGGCCGCGCAGTAGCAGGATTGTCATTCGGCAGGTTCGCAGTCGTTCAGCTCAGTTCAGTCAGGGTAGGGTAGGGTGGAGGCAAAAGAGCATGGCGCCCCGTAGAGTAGTTCTCTAGAGATCGAGGGTAAAGTAGAGAGAGCCCAGACAGAGAGCCCAGAGCCCATTTCTTTAGCGGGGCATCTACTGCTTTACTGGGGCCGCTTAAAGGTGGACCGTGAACACAGTGAGGGCCACGGCTACACTTGCGGCTATTCCTAGAGCAACTCATACCCATCTCACCACCCACCTTTCCTCTCACCTCAGCTGCAACACCACCACCAATCTGCCGTTCTAGCTGCCAATCAAAACAGTCTGCACCGTCTACAGCGGATGGGGAATAGTGCAGCGGAAGCGGGTCAGCTACTAGGCCGCAACCACTTCCCCAAACATGCAGCATTGCATCCTGGCGCCGCACATCACGAAAGCTTAATGACAACGCTCTTGGTCTCGAGGAAGTTGTCGAGAGAGTAAAAGGGCCCTCCTTCGCGGCCGGACCCAGAGCTCTTGTAACCGCCAAACGGCATGTCGACACCGGTGCTGGGCGATGTGCAGTTCACGCCGACTGTCCCTGCTTCGAGCCCTTTGGCGAAACGCATCGCGCGATCGATGTTCTTTGTGTACACGGCTGCGTAGAGGCCATACCTGAAACACATTGGTCAGCATTCGGCATGCAAATAAGGACTAGCCCGCCAAGACACGGGAAACTGACTCTGTGTCGTTTGCCTTTGCCAGAGCTTCCTCCTCTGTCGAGAAGACGTTGATGTTGACAATGGGGCCAAAAATCTCCTCCTTCATGATCTTGGCATCTTCAGGCGTGTTCTTGAATATTGTCGGCTGCACATAGTAGCCTTCCTGGCCCGACGGCACCCCTCCGCCAGTCAGCAATTCTCCACCAGACTGCTTGCCTGACTCCAAATACTGCAGGACTGTCTTGTGCTGCGCCTCGTCGGCCTGCGGTCCGTGATTGACACCCTTAGCGAGAGGATCGCCCATTGCCACCTCCTTCTCAAAGTAGTCCTTGAACAGCGCAATATACTTGTCGGCAATTGTGTCTTGCACGTAGATGCGCGAATTGGCCATGCAAACTTGGCCACTGTTCCACTGGATACTGTATGCTGTTTGCTTGACAGCTGTCTCGAGCTCTGCATCATCGAAGATGATGGCCGGCGATTTTCCGCCGAGCTCAAGGTACACCTGCTTGAGGTTCGACTTGGCTGCTGCTGTTTGAATGAGGCGCCCAGTGCGTCCAGAGCCTGTAAAGGAGAGTGCTCGCACGTCCATGTGGCTGGATAATATCGAACCAGACACATTACCGAACCCGGTGATGATGTTGATGACACCTGGTGGGAAGCCAGCTTGCTGGACCAAAGACGCAACCTTTGCAGACTGCGCACCACTTAGTCTGCTGAATCCTGATCATCTTACAACGGTACTCACAGTCAACGGCGCTTTCTCAGAGCTCTTCAACACAACCGTATTTCCAACAATCAGCGCCGGTGCAAGTTTGTTGGATAGAAATACCAATGGGAGATTCCATGGGATAATCGCAGCGACCACACCATACGGCTGACGCAGCGTCATGTTGAGGAAACCAGGTGTTTGCACGCTCGTTGTGCCCTGAACACTGTAGGCAGCCTCTGAATAATAGTTCCATTTTTCCGCCGCAATATGGCCATCGAAAAATGTACCCAGAGGCTTGCCCATGGAGGCTGCCTCAAGTGCTGCGAGTTCATCATTGTTTTCGAGAATTAGGCTCGCGAGCTTCTTGAAGTATTCGCCGCGCTTGCTAGGAGATAGCGCTGACCATGCCGGGAATGCTGCCTTTGCTGCTGCGACTGCATCGTCTGTATCTTGTTCCGATGCCTCATGTACTGTCCCAATGAGTCGCGAGTCGCTGTCAATTACTCGAGATGCTTACCATGGGCAACATGCTTCAATGTAGCTGGATTTTTGATATCAAAAGTCTTGCCATTGGATGACTCCCGAAACTGTAACTTGTCAGCTGTTTTTTATAAAATGTACAATGTTGATTGGACTGGCCTCTCCATTAATAAACAGGCGCGTCTCAATCTTCTCTGGAATTCCCATGTTTGCGGCCTGGGGTGGTAGAAACCGGAGTACTTTGAAAAGTCAGAGTATATAGATTCTCTTGAATTTACCGAGTTTCCGTAGAGTGGGTCACAGAGTATGTCATATATGTGGGGATGGTACTGTGGGTGCTGCTGGAGCTTATGCTGACGGCTGACTACTGAACAGATGGAGCGTAACACGGCTTGGTAGGCCCGCGACCGAAAGGTTAGTGAAGTCTTGATGCCAACCGAGCCAACTCGCAATCGAAAGTTAGTGGGTGTGCCAGACACAGAATGTGGCAGCGGAAAGTTGACCCCACCAAACCCCCTCCTCCCCCCGTCCATCGTCTCCGCAACCTCACCAATTGTGTACATTCGGCACTATAGACCCGCGGACTCGCTCTCATTTCTCCGTGAGCATTCACTGCCCGATTCGTCGGCTTGGGGCTGCAGTTCCACTTTTGACCGCGGCATAACATGCTCGTTGGGGTAAGCTTCATGTGGCACTGATGTTTTGTAGGCCGTACGCGAAGATATGAAGACCGTTACGGACGCACCGAAAGCTTAGATAATTATCTCGCAACAGCTCCCAATTGCATAGAAGCCATACAATATGAGTAACGAAGTTGAAGAGTTGAAGAAAATAGTTGAGGCGTTGCAGAAGCAAGTGACGCGATTGTCAGGTTCGATCACAGTCTCCAATTACCCCACAACGATTTGGCGCTAACCTCTTACAGACCAAGAAGAGATCCGCAAACTCCAATACACGTACGGCTACTACTTGGACAAATGCCTTTACAAGGAGGTCAGACATTGTGTCTTATATTGGCGAATACAACTGACCTAGCCAGGTGGCGGAGCTTTACTCTGACCATCCGGACACTGCCGTAGAGTTTCTTGGCGGTCGCTACAATGGCAAGGAAGGCGTCAAAAGACTCTACATCAACCGCTTTGCAAAGGCATTTGTTGCAGGCCGCAATGGCCCTGTCCATGGCTTTCTCTTAGATCACCCACAGATGCAGGGCATCGTGGACGTGAACGCAGAAGGCACGCGAGCAAAGGGCCGTTTCCGCAGCATGATGTCCGCAGGCACGCACGAAAGCATCAAAGACTCACACCCTCGGGGTCTAGTCCAGTGGTGGGAAGGTGGCATCTATGAGAACGAATACATCAAGGAAAACGGTGTCTGGAAAATGTTTCGACTCAAGTATTTCCCATTCTGGCACGCCTTGTTCGACAAGGGTTGGTCATACACGAAGCCAAACTACGTTCCTTTCTTGAGCAAGACATATCCTCAAGATCCAAATGGACCGGACGAGCTGTGCGATCACCCTATGATGTGGCCAGACACGAGGGTCGTTCCATTCCACTACACCCATCCAGTGACTGGCGAACAGGTCGCAGATGATGACTTGAGAGCGCCTCATTTTGGCCAGGATGCATCAACAAGTGCTCCCCCTCTGGTCCTGAGTAAACCGAAACCAGAGACCACGAATGGTGGATAGTGCTGTCTGTAGTTGTGCAACCTCAGTATTCAGAACAGGAATAATTAATTAATCGGATTCTGAACCTTGTGCAGTCTCCATTCCAAGATTTCACGCTAGATTACATGTGTTACATGCATTACATATGGCAGGAAGTTTCTGGTCGACACTATATTATATTTCAAACATACTGTGTCTGAAGAAATTGCTAAGCAACTTTTCGTTACACTTCAAGAGGCAGTTTGAACAACCGGATTGCATTGGTTCTCGCAACCGCCTCCTTTTGATCACTAGGTAAATCAACTGACTTCCACCAATTCTGGGCCTCCTCCACTGTATCATAAGGTGTATCTGAACATTGTCAGCAACTGGCATCCATGTTACTAGCGCCCTACTGACCAATCGCATACATGCACCGATCTAGGCCGAGTTCTTCGATGCAAAACTTAAGTCCTCGAGTGTTGTAATTTCCAGATGTGGATATCGAGACATTGTGGGTCCAATAGTACGAATAATTGTGCTTCATGGGCCGCGCATTACGCTTGAAAGGATGATCTATCCAATGGCTCGCTCTCCAGAGATTGAACGGGACGCTGGCTCACTGTCAGACTCATCTTTCGTCTCAAGCCAATTGCATCTCTTACCCTTCACCCAAGTGCCCAGCAACAATCTGCACCTTGGGATACCGATCAAAGATGCCTGATGAGCAAAGCGCATACAAGTGCCAGCTTAGATCCAGATGAAACTGAACTCCTGCTCCGAGCAGATGTTTCCTATCGCCATACTTTGTGCCTGACTGGAGATCCTGCGGAATGGCGTAACGGGGATGGAAGTAGATGGGCACGTCGAGTTCTTCAACAGCCTGCCAGAACGATTCATACTCAGGAGTGTCAAAATATACCTTCTCTTTTGCCTCTACACCTTTCGACTGGAAATCGTTGATCAGGCCACCAAACATTCCCAGTTCTTTGACTGCACGTCTCAGCTCATCTATGGCATCTTGTGCGTTGTGCATGGACAATGCAGCAAGTGCTCCAAACCTCTTAGGATTCTTCTTGACCTCTCCAGCAAGGTAGTCATTAGCCACTTGAGCCATATGTTTGGCTTTGTCAGGATCAGCTTCTCCTTGCGCGCCCGGTGAGGTCAAAGATAGTAGCATGTACTCGACGCCGTGCTTGTCCATATTCTTGAGACGCTCGCCATGAATGTCGAGAAGATGTTGCTCGTGTGCCGAAAGACCGGAAGTCGGGTCGCTGCCTGGTGTCATAAGACTTTGAAACTGCGCAAAGGTGTGTGCCTTGATGCCCGCGGGATCTATGATCGCTTCTTCAATTGCGACGGTGCCCTTCATGGTTCTGGCGTGCGGTCGTCTCTGTCCAGTCTGTTTTTTCGTTGTGCTTCCTGTATTCCAGATGATTCAAGCTTGTTACCGCGGTTTGTTGTCGGCTTTGCAATGAATCATTGCATACTCCGTACTCGGATGCCGGGGCACCATCGTCTCCCGTTGACTGCACCTCCTCATCTTCCTCCCCACAATCAATGTACGGCAATCACTATATTGCAGGTTTAGCTCTCCAATGCGTGTGTAACATCTTGGTTTCCGAGATTCCCAATAACTCTTGTCTTCGGCTGGATCCTGCCGTTCACGTCATGCGCGAGGCGTATTCGGCGTTATCATACCGCACCCACTCTACCCCTGCATTCACCCACAAGCTACCCCGCAGATGGAGTCTCCCCACATCAAACCAGCAATTCCCGAGCACGGCAGTAATTCTGATCACGATATTGTGGCCAGGATCTCCAGCAATAAACAAAGGAGATATGTTGAAATGTAGCTGAGTTAACAGCCTTGGAAGGCCCTCCTTGCTCCAAATTGTCAGCAACGGGTAGATCCCCATCCGGTGATGGCACACATCTTCTCCCTCGCAACTCCAGCGCCGCCAGCGTACCAGGAAGGAAGACGCTCTGGAGATCAGGTCAAGTTTCCTGACAGTGGTTTTTTCCAAGGCTTTAACAAGCCGTCTCGGCTAGAAGCCGACATCTTCGAGCTTGAGACGACTGGAACGGTGATTACCTGAGCAACAACTCTAGCCAGTCCCAGCCTCTGACATATTCAAGATTCCGAAAGACATTAATGGAACCTTTTATCGTATCCAGCCTGACCACCGTTTCCCGCCACTTTTCGAGGAGGACATACACTTTAATGGGGATGGCTCAGTTTCAGCGTTTCGATTCGAGAATGGACATGTTGACTTCAGACAACGATATGTGCAAACCGACCGTTTCAAAGCAGAAACCAAGGCGCGACAAGCTTTGCTTGGAAGGTACAGGAACCCGTACACAGACAATGAAATGGTGAAGGGTATCATCAGGACAGCATCCAATACGAACATTATCTTTTGGCGAGGAGTACTATTGGCCACAAAAGAAGATGGTCCACCTTTTGCCATGGATCCCGTGACCTTGGAGACCATTGGTCGATACGACTTCGATGGCCAGGTGCAATCTCCAACGTTCACTGCACACCCGAAATTCGATCCGGACACTGGTGAGATGGTGTGTTATGGGTATGAAGCGGGAGGTAACGGATATGACGGAAGCTGCGACATTGTTGTGTATACTATAGATCGAGACGGGAAGAAGACTGAAGAATGTTGGTATAAGGCTCCGTTCTGTGGTATGATCCACGACTGTGCCATCACCAAAAACTACCTGATTTTGCCTTTGACACCAATTAAGGTGGATGAAGAACGACTGAAGAAAGGTGGAAACCACTTTGCATGGGATCCAGATGAAGATCAATGGTATGGAATTGTGCCTCGCAGAGGTGGTAAGCCAGAAGATATTGTTTGGTTGCGTGCTGACAATGGTATGACGCTTCTTATTATCCTGTTCGAACAATTAAGGGGTGTGCTAACAATGCCAGGCTTCCACGGCCATGTGGCAGGCTCATATGAGGACGATGATGGCAAAATCGTTGTGGACCTGTCGGTAGCCTCTGACAATGTCTTCTACTTCTTCCCACCTGACAGTCTTGCCGATACACCAACAACGTTACTTCAGCGTAACAAACTTGTTTCCGACACATATCGATGGGTCTTTGATCCCAAAACTCCAAGCGATACGCGCGTACAGCCCTTCAAATTATTTGGCATCAACGGTGAATTTTCGCGTATAGACGATCGCCTTCTTACAAAGAAATATAACCATTTCTGGCAGTGCAACATCGATCCCTCAAAACCATACGATTTTCCGAAATGTGGGCCGCCCGCCGGAGGATTATTCAATGTACTTGGCCATTACGAGTGGGATACTGGGAAAAAGGATACTTACTGGGCTGGTCCCACTTGCACCTTCCAGGAACCAGTGTTTGTGCCGAAAGCGACGGCGTCGTCGACTGAGATTCTCGAGGGTGAAGGATATCTGATAGCATTGCTGAATCATCTTGATGTATTGCGCAACGATATACTCATTTTTAACGCGCAAAACCTAGCACAGGGGCCTTTGGCAGTAGTACATTTACCTGTTAAGCTGCGTTTGGGACTGCATGGCAATTTCATCGAGCAGAAAGAGATAGATGAATGGAAGGAAAAGAGAAAGGAAGGTGGGCCTCTTGGGCCTGCTCAAGCTGCAAAAGAGATGCTTCCGTGGCAAAAACAAATGGCTGAGCAAGGTGAACTGGGAAGTGCAGTGCCACTGATAGGGGTGCATAGCAATTAAAGAATTGGCTACCGACAAATTCTGTCAATGAAATGGTGTTAAATGATGCAATGCACCGAATCTGGTCTATCAAATGTAAACTTGGCAATGTAGAGCCTTTGGGGCAAGAAGCTCAACCCTCACGCTGGCAAGGTGCTCACACCTAAGGACTACGTAGACCTAACTTCTATATCCCATATTTCTGAGTTGAGTAACAATGTCAATTACATCTTGAACTCAAGGGACAGATCTTGGTGCACTGTTCGTACGCAAGCTCCGGCGCTATTGTTCATGCACCTAGAAAGGGGCAAAAGCGCTAAACCGATGATGCAGTCTAGCAGTATACATGGTTCGCGATTGTTACAAGCTGAAAAGCGTGCGCATTTGGTATTCCATTAGAGTGGTCAGCCAGTGAAGGAATTCAGTGGATTGTACTAGGATTCCCATACAATATAGACCGGTAGTCTAACAGCCAGTTTCGTCAACTTGACTTGTGCTGGCCGCCAGCTCAGCATTACCAATTAAAAGCCTCGACTGTATTGAGATCTTGTTTCTACCAATTCTCATTAGCTTGTTAACGTACCACAGTTATTTGGTGCACAAGGTATCAAGTTCGGATATAGGTCACAAGGCTGATGCGCTCTGCCACTCGCGATTTCCTAAACCGTACCACACATGCCGCTTGTTGACTGGCTAGGCAGGCTAGGCAGCTTCCATCTATTGTTTGCGCTAGCAAGCGATAATACACTGCAGGAAGACACGCATATCTTCCCCTGTGACTGGCCATTTCTCTTGAATATTATCTTCCTGGTGTTTTCCTATTGGGACCGAGGGATTAGCGGTCCTCGAGCACTGATCTATACCCCACGGATTTCTATATAACTTCAGCGCTTCACGGTGCTGTACTACTTGACATCGAATATACCTCTTCCTTTATATGACATTATGTTCACTCATTCACCCTTCATGGGGTCTCTCCTCTTTCAGGATTTCTGATCATCTATCTGGATCCCATTATCACAGTGGACAAACTCAAAGTAAACCGACATGGACGAACCAACCATCTACCAAGATGATCTGACACTCAGCCATGCCATTTTGAGTCATAAAGCCAGACGCCATGCTTGGAAAGCAGCAGCGAAGGAGTCTAGGAAGACCATACCGCCTCCGAAAATGGCAAGTGTAAAGCCTCCGGAGCAAAATCAAGGAACAACGTCCATCGTAGAGACTATCCGCTACGAGTGCTGCATTTGTGGCGATGACCAACCGGTCACGGAAGGCGTTATTCCATGTGAGGAGCATTTCTTCTGCAACAACTGCAGCGTCGAGATCTTCACGCGAGCGATACGAAGTCTCGACGATTTCCCTGCCAAATGTTGCTCGCCACTTCCACGGCGGCTCGTCGAACATCTTCTATCGCCAGATGCTATCGAGGCCTACAAACTGAAGGCCAAAGAGTACTACACAAGTCCCGTACTACGGGTATACTGCTCTAACGAGGACTGTCGGGTTTTTCTACCCGATACCCAACACAGCCGCTCAGATTTCGGGGCTAGCATCGCCCGATGTTATTGTGGCACAATTACCTGTGTGGACTGCAAGGAGGCGTTGGAAGAGGTGGATCATGTGTGCTCGCTCTCGACTGATCCTGTCGCAAAGCCAGACTGGATGCCCGAGTACACAACCGGTTGCCGCATCAAGCAGTGTCCAGGCTGCCATGTCTGGGTAGAGCACAGAGATGCTTGTAATCACATGCGTTGTGGCTCTTGTTGCTATCAATTTTGTTTCATTTGCTTGCAGCCTTGGGACATAGCAGAAGGCTTCCATGAGGGTCAGGGGTGCCCACCATACGGGGAGCCAATGGCAGGGTACGATGAGGAAGGCTATGAGCGCACGCCTCGCGCAATCCATCGTGACACGGGTTATGTTCGCGGTGGATGGAACCGTCACAGTCGACCGAAACTTAATGTTAGACCCGCTGTTGGTTTCCGCCCCGTGTTAATTCTCCCCAACTATCATGAAGATGATGAGCATTATTACGAAGACGACGACGACGAAGATGACGGTGGCGACGACTGGGGCCTTGATTATGGCGATTACGTCTAATGGCTACGACCTTTACAGGATGCCAATTGGCCTGGCGAATCCCCTTCTTGAACACAATTCAACCAACACACCCAGGCATGGCTAGGCAAGCGACCAGGAGCAGGACCGGCTGAGCCAGATCGCCTTAGAGCAAGATGCCCTCCAAGAGCCGGAAATTCTCGATCCCAGCATCACCATTCTAAGGGACTTTGAATGCCGACACTGAACTATTGCATTTCCACCCCTTTCTTTACTGGGAAATAACAAGACTATGATAATAAATGTGCAGGGGGATATACTTTGGGACTATTGAAATGTTACGGAGGAGGATTTGGGCGATCCTCAATGTGTGATAACGTTACGTTTGGATACTAATCCTGTTTCATCGTTGTCTGGGAGGAGCATTAGGACAGTTGGGTGGAAGTGATATCGACACTTAACCCTAACCCTAGTCAACGCGCTGCGATTCACTTTCGTTCGAATTCTGCGTTACGGCCTAAAAGCATAGGTGCCTGTCGCTTGCGACGAATTACATGTCACCACGACCCCGCCAACATCGCTGTCTTCTAAGCTCGTGAGCTTCGTCTTCAACATCACATCGCGGGCAGGTATACAGCGCAATATTTTCTGTTACCTCTACTATCAGCAGAGACACAACATCTCAAGTCCAGAGACAGAACCGCGCGAAATCGGGGTGGGCCAGCGTCACCACGCGCAACACGAATATACCCGGGTATCGTCAAAAGTCCTTAACTTTATGGTACGTCTCGTCTTAGAGATACGGTCCTCGCTCTAATGTTTTTACTAGGCTTTCGATCTTAATAACGTAAAGCCCCTTGATCCGAACTTAGATTTCTCAAACATAAAAGTGAATAGTGTTAGTTAGGTGGAAGGAAGTGGCAAAGAAGTGCGGTGGAAAAACAGTGATGTTACGGTCATTAAGAAGGATAGTAATGGAAAGGAGCATTTCACACCTCTCCCTAACTAGCGTGATAGCTCTTTAATCCTCAACACAGGCATTTCTTTGTACATTGCAGGAGGGCAATTCAAAGAGGGATAGAATTATACGGCATTCTTACACTACGGTACAAAACCGGTTTACAGTAGCCATATTTATCTAAAGTAGACTAAGAAGTGGTTTAGGTAGAAGTAATAACTAGTTTCCTACTAACTATTCAAGTATTTTTACCCCTCCTTTCTTCAATCTTCTTCACCACCTCCACCACCTCCGTTATCACCGCTTGCTATTAGTAGAAATATCATGACTCATTATTATGCCATATGTGCGTATAGCGTGAAGCTAATCTTCTCTACCCCTTTTAGTCTTAGTTAGGTATTATAGCGTATAATAGAAATAAAACTACTTTTATGCTTAATTTAAACCCCTACTATAAAAGTAAACTATCACTTTAAACCTATTTACGGGTATACACGAGGGCAATTTACACCTATATAGTAAACCCCTAGGTCACTATTCTACTGTAAACAATTTTGTACCGTCGTGTAGTAAGTAATAGCGGTGATGGATTGTAGTGATAGAGAGGGAGTAGAAGCAAGGAAAGCCATTGTGACTAGATACTTACAGACCACTTAAAGGAACCTAATGTACAACAGATAATGGTAGCACAATTGGATAGCTTCATGTTAACTGGCTTGATTGCGGGCAAGACGTCGTGAGCGAAGCGACCTGTACATAGCAATGTGTGGAAATTTGGACCACTGAGCTCAGGAATGATTTGGGAGATGGATCATTAGATTGTATCTAATCAGATAGAGCTCAAATATATACCATAGTAGAGCTCTAAGTTGCTATATCCTTAGGAGTCTGATCGGTAAACCTTCCTTACCAGAGCTCTATTACTCAGTGAGTGACGTGGCATTGAGTAAGCAGTGGATTGATCAGTGGATCCAACAAGGATCAGATCAAGGATCAAGCATGGATATTGATCCAGGGTGCCCAGAGTGGCCGGATCAAGATGCTCCGTGATCCGCTCAGTGGTCTGTTCTGCAACACAATGAGCTTCATGCACGGATCACGTCTATGCCATAGAGATAGACGGGCTTTGTGCTCTGTCTTGACCAATTAAGTTTATTGCTGCATTCTACTCAAGCTTGCGACCCTTGTCAGAGTGTTTGGATAGGAGAAAAGTACCGCTCTATTGTGTGTGATTAGTATTCATTCTATCAGACAGATTCTGTGAAAATGTGGATCACTAAGCTCAGGAATGATATAGGAGATGGATTATTAGATTGTATCTACGGCGATAGGTAGAGCTCATATATGTAGAGCTTTCAGCTACCTTACTAGAAGGTGTATAATCTGTAATCCTTTCTTACCAGAGCTCTATTTCTATAAGGTGACTTGGCAGTGAGCTGGCAGTGGATTAGTTAGTTAATTAGCCAAGGGTATTGATCCAAGCTTAGATGGGTTGATCGGATTAAGATGCTCCGTGATCCGATTGATATCGGTTTTTGCAACAGATTCTTTATGCTTCGCTTGTGTGTTCAAACCTTCCGGGGGAACGATGGCTAGTTTGATTAACAACTAAAGTAGCGTCGCGCCTCGACCGTTTTCTCCTACAGAATGATGCCAGCAATGTTATTGCGCGAAGTGGGTAGTTACTACCAACAAGGAGTATACTCCATAACAACTTAGTATAGGATCGGTCTGTATAATACGATTTATCCCTATTCTTCTCACTAGAGTATATAAAAATTTGATAAAATTAACACGATTTTTACGATTTACTCGCATTATACGCATAAGCTGATCCTCTGTTGTATTTTAACAGTGAAAGAGGTCACAGAGGGTGAAATGCAGCTGTGCTTCATTATGTGGCCGCTTGGTGGATAGAGTCACACTATGCCTATTGTAAAATAGTTGATTGCTGACCAGTCGGGTACTATCCTTGCCCGGATGCCATCACCGCTATCGCCGTAGTGCCGGCTCGGGTGCAGCACAAGGGTATGGCGCGTTAGTACTGTTGCCTTGTAGTTTAGTATGAATCACGGGGCGCCTTCGATCATTGTCACTTGTATAAAGATGCTGTAAATCGCGGATTAGTATTTTCTGTGGATTTGATAACGTACATTATGTGGAGGTAACTGTGCATCCTTTCACCCTTATGCTTGTAGTTTACAAAGATTGCACCACATTATATTTAATAATCCTTACATGTATAAACCTAACGTACCTGTCCCTATACAGGCTCATCTTTCCACTGCAGTCAATCATGCCAACTGCCCAACAAATTAGTTGCTGTCTCGCAGCACCACGCTTCCATCCACATCTACAGAGAACCGCCTCCGCCTGATCACCATCTTTCGAATTTCAAACCTTATACATGGCCAAGGCGGACGACAACTCACAAGTACCCTACATAAGAAGTCCACATTGTACGCTAAAACTTGTCCGCCTTGGCGAGCGGCAAGGATTCCCCTTTTTTTTGTGAGAGATTTTCGACGAGGGAGGCGATAGGTCTGGTACCTCACAATTGGGGTTTACATGAGATATGGTAGCTACGCTGTGCCTGTTAACGTACTGCATGTTACTCGAGTGAATTACCACACCTAAGCAATGTGATCGTGATTGAGGATGAAATGTCATGTAGATTTGCCATGCAAAGATCTTCTCAAAAGCTCAAAAGCTCAATTGGCCTAACCTATCATACCGGTACTTTCCGCGGCTTCCGACGCCCGGTAGCGCAACGTTGGTCATAGTTTCTGTCATGATACCTGTTACCAAACCCACTGATTTCACACCGCGCTATTGTATCCCTCCCACGTTCAAACTTTTTCCACGCGAAATGGGAAAAAGGGAAATGATATTGGCCTCTGATGGTAGTGTGTAGCCTGGTGTTTCCTTGACTCGTTTGAAGAGTTTTGTCATTGAGCTTGGTTTGGCCTTGGAGTAGTAGGAACTACTCGTCCTGCCGGTGGGTACTTGTTTACACAGTACCGTTCCGTACCGTAATACACATACAGCGCACTGCCAACGGTACTTTAAAATGTGGGGCATCGCTAACCTGCGACTCCGCTCGGCAATCGGTCTTATATGCTCGCCGATAGCTTCACTATTAGAAGAAGAACAGCCGATCTTGGACAGTTAGGGAGATTAATTTACATACACCATCTTACACATGGGCTAAAGGATATGGTAACCGCTTGAGCCCCTCTGCCATATTTAGTCCTAAGCGTCCCCCACATTTCAGTGCTGCGGTTGCCCCGTGTGGTACAGGTCCAGATTGTATCTCTCTGGTCAAAGCATCATACCGTTTACCTAGGTAGCTCGTACCAAATACATGGAAATCTGGGAATTTTTATACTAAATTCAAATCCTTCTATTCATCGTTAACAAGAAAAATTATCTGTACCCGCCGCCTCAACCGTCCATTATGTCCAAGACTAGTGCAAGAGCAAGAACCTGGTTCCTATTTGCACTAGCACTAGCACATGGAATTGCAACAACGGCTTCGACACTGACGCCCACTGTGCACACGACAAATGGGACGCTCGTTGGTGTCCGGAACACGCAATACGAGCAGGACTTCTTCCTTGGGATTCCGTATGCGCAGCCGCCTGTTGGCAAGCTGCGGTACCGTCGTCCACGGCCCGTTGCGCAGACGTGGGGGGAGCGGCGAGATGCCACGGAGTATGGGGCGGGATGCTATGCTGCACCTGTGCCCTTGCCAGTGTTTGATCAACAAGGCGTCTCTTACGCGGAAAGCGAGGACTGCTTGACACTGAACGTGGTGCGTCCTGCCGGTGTTGACAAGGCCGATACCAAGTTGCCAGTGCTGGTTTGGATTCATGGTGGGGGGTTCTCTGAGGGCAATAGTGCAGATCAGAGATATAATATTTCCTTCCTAGTGCGGGAGTCTGTGGATGTGGGAGCACCCGTCATCGGCGTCACGATAAACTATCGACTTTCCGGCTTTGGCTTCTTGCCTGGCAGCCGGCTGAATCGGACGGGCGTTGCGAATCTAGGACTGTACGATCAGCGATTAGCACTGGGTTGGATTCAAGACAATATTGCTGCTTTTGGGGGGGATCCGTCGCGGGTGACGCTACAGGGGGAATCTGCCGGTGCTATCTCAGTTGGACACCAATTTCTCGCCTTTGGAGGACGGGATGACGGACTGTTTCGTGCTGGTATCATGCAAAGTGGTGGAGTGGGAGCAGGAGCCCCTTTCCTTCCTGAAGAGGCTCAAGATATCGCGTATAACAGGGTGTTAAACGAGACTGGGTGTACGAGTTCAAAAGACACACTCGACTGTCTGCGGGAAGTGCCTGTCGATCGGTTAAGGGCCGCTTTCCAGGGCATGGAATACTTTCCATCCATAGACGGAGACTTGGTGGGCGAGCACCCAGCCGTAGATCTCGATGCTGGAAGATTTGTCCGCCGTCCTATACTCACCGGGACAAACACAAATGAGGGCACTGCCTTTACTATTGTCGAAGACTTGTTCCCACAAACCACGACGGATTTCCGCGCCGCCATGGCAAGATACTTGCGTCCTGGCACGCCTAATACAACCCTTAATGTCATCGCCGCTGACTACCTCAACAACATGTCGTCCGAAGAAGCTCAACTCGCCCTCGGCACCGTCCTGCCCTCTTCTAACCTAGCCTACGGCGCTCTCTACGGCCGCGCCACTATATTCCGCGGTGATCAGCTCTTCATGGCCGCCCGCCGCTACAGCACGGAAACGTGGGCAAGATACGGCGTTCCAGCATACAGTTACCGGTTCGACGTGGTGCCGAGCGGCGTGGACGCCAGAACATTAGGGGTATCCCACTTTGCAGAAGTCCCCTTTGTCTTCCATAATCTCGACGGCGTGGGTCACGACATCAATTTCCTCGCCTCCGATTTCCCAGCAGAACGCGAAGCTTTGGTCAGGCTAAGTGGGCGTATGAGCCGCATGTGGCTCAGCTTCGTGAATGAGCTTACCCCGAATTCTCACTATAGTTTGGCGCAGGATGTGCTTTCTTATCTCTCTGTTGACACATATCTTGCTGCAGGTGGAAAAGGTCAGGTACCGAGGTGGCCGGTATACTCAAACCGAAGTAAAGTGAACATGTTGTTTAGAAAAGAGGGCGTCAGTCTGGAACGCGACGATTGGAGGGCTAGTGCGATTCGTCGCCTGAACGACGTCGACCTTCTTGCTTGAAGTAAGTCTAGTTTTAAATCAAACGTGCTTGAAGCAAGCTTAGTTTTCTATCAGAAAAATATTTTTGAAAAGTAAGAGGAAAAAGGCTGGGGAAGGAATTAGGGGCTGGCAACCAAACCTGTTATCTGAGCAAACTGATGGATTAGTTAAACCCAAAAAAAGTCTCACGACAATTTCGGTGCGGTATTGAGTAGTGCCGTCAGCAGCGTAAGCCCTAAGCCTTTTGGTTAGGCTAGTATAGTATGTAAATAGGTTCGCTTTTGTAGTCTTATGTCTGGCCGTACTAGTACTTGTCGTGATCTAACACCGCCGGCTGGGGGTACACCAACTATTGGGTTGGGACGCTGACCCCTGGAAACGCTACCATTGCTGTCTTAGGCGCCCTGGTCTTCAAAGCTGGTGATACTACTAGTGTATAAGAGGCTCTTCGTCTTCAACAGTACGCTGTCAAAGTTGAGATTATCTTTGTGGAAGCTTTTATTCAATTTGGTGTTGATGAACTTGCAACAGATGCGTTACGTGTTGAACAAGTATATCATATAATTGAAGAATCACTCTTTCCTATGTGGAAAAATCCAGCAGCGACTGGATAACCTACATAAGGAGAAATAGATTACACTCCTATTGTGCCGTGGCATGGTGTGCATGGCTAAAAGTGAGGCTTAGCCTAAATTGGATGGGTTGAAAGGTATAAAGGCATGGAGGATCAGAGGATAGAACGGCAAGCACTCCTCGACACTTCACTTCAACTCTTCAATGATAACTTTTCTCCTATGATCCATCATTCAATTCATGTCGTTTACCATGAGATATTGTCTATCGAGTCGTACCCCTCACCCTTCTCCTTGTTTGAATGGGTTACTCTCCCTAACGGTTCACTATAGAGTATCCTGTGGATAACTGCGTATATAGTACAATATAGCAAGTTTATATCTTAGATAATATATCTTATAGTATAAAGCCCTTTAATAGCAGATAGTAATAAGCTAACTATACTGTTAACGGGCCGTCTTACCTAGACTACACTAGTTAGACCAGCTTTCTTTTATATAGAATAGTAGCGATACAGTCTTATAGCAGCCTAGAAACCTTTCTTAGAATATCCTTAATCTATAAGGCTAACTAAGGCACAAGGAGGAGAAACTAATACTAAGTAAGGATTTAAGTAGAGCAGATTATCTAGGATTAGCCTAAGCTAGTCCTACCTCTATTAGAGAGAGGATAAAAGAGTCTCTATAATACTTAAAAAGGCTACTATAAATAGTGTCTAACGCCCCTAATTTACTAGCCTATACTTATCTATAATAAGAAACCCCTTTAATTATATCTCTATTATAAAGTCTTAAGAGATAGCTAGGTAAAGAGAACCTCTACTACTAGCAAGTAAATGTTGCTAAATACTCTAAAGGAAAGAAAGACTGCAAGCGATCAAGAATATAAGGTTGTCCCCTAATACCACATAGTAATTAAAGGTAGTCTAGGCCCTACCACGCCTGCGATAGTCTAATCTGCACTAAGTAATACTAAAAATAGGTAGATAACCTATAGTTAGCAGACTTAAATAATTAGTCCTGCAGTCTAGGACTACTACTAAAAAGAGGCTGCTCTGCTTTAACTAACTCTGCCTGCTAGTTATAAGTGCGACAAGCGCACTAGTATAATTAATAGCTCTTTAATATACCTGCCTACATACTTATAATTGTAAACTAACGCGCCTTTAATAAACTAAACTAAAAGACCACATACTACTGCCACTAACACTACCTATCAGCCTTGTTAAGGACAGGCATAACTCCTTAGCTCCTATAGGGGCATAATACTAGCGCTAGTTATGCTATTATTTAGAAGCCTAAAGGTTGTGATCCTTAGCCTTTACTACGGTAAAAAATTGTTTACTGTAGAATGGTACGCTAGGGGTTTACTATATAGGTGTAAACTGACCTTGTGTATACCCGTAAATAGGTTTAAAGTGGTGGTTTACTTTATTATAGGTGGTTTAAATTAAGTATAAAAAGTAGTTTTATATCTATTATACGCTATAATACCTAACTAAGACTAAAAGGGGTAGAAAAGATTAGCTTCACGCTATACGCACATATGACATAATAATAAGTTATGATATTTTTACTAATAGGAGGTAGTGATAATAGAGGTGGTGATAGAGGTGGT